GAAGACAGCAGGAGGTAGAAAGCAGCATCGTGCTGGTCGACTGACTGCAGATGACAAGAAAACAAAAGAGGACATGCAAAAAAAATTGTCAAAAGGAGATCAGATTCTCGATCTTCTCACTTCAGCCGGCTCCAGCGCAAAGCGACGGCGGGTGAACGAAAAGCAGCCAGATGCGATGGAAGTTAAAAAGGAAGACGGAGACGCGGAACGAATGCACTTTCACACTCATCTGTGCAGGTACGAGTACACGGGCCCGGACACCATCCGCGCGAGGAAGCAGGCTAGAGGCCTTGGCGCTCAGAATCTGGCCCGGGCAGCTCAATGTTTCCTGGTGGGTCACACGCACGACCTTGACATCCACAACTCAGTCTTCAACGCGCTTCTGCAACTTGTACAAAGAAGCCATCTGAATCCAGCCATTGAAGCTCGGCTTCCAACGGACTGGGCTCATCCTCACTATCCCCAACCCAGTAGCAGGGCACCGCTGCATGCCTATGCGCGCGTCGATATCCGAATCGCCTGCGGCAGCCAAGTCCAACAATGCCCTGCTCTGACCACAAGTGCGACTGCCCTCCTTCCGGCTGCTGTAGAAGATAGCAAGTGCAAGACTTGCTATCAGTTCCACCTCGCACAGCAGACAGCAATGCGTCTGCCTTGATCCGAAGAATACAGGTGTCAACTGCGTCAGGCACTTTGGCTACAGCCACACAATGTGGCACGCTGCCGTTTTCCAGACGCATAAGCCACTTGTCTCCAGGTATAGTGTCACACTCCAAAATGCTGGGTACAAGGTGCAGGCCAGGAGCTCAGAGCATTGCCTGTATGTGCGGCAGCCTCGCTCCTCTCTGTATACATCGTTGCATCCGGACACTTCTCCAAGCAAGCCGTAGCATGTGGAATGCAGTTGCCATGTTGACGCAGCACGTCGTCTGGCGCAAACGCCTCCTTTTGCAGCAGCTCCAGCACAGTGAAATGTCTCTTATCCACTATCTGAAGCTGGAAACCTGTTTTAGCGGCGATATGCCCCGTCGACTCCTCGCGTAACTCTTGAGCTGAGACGTTGGGCACGCGCAAGATCCGCGCGCCGTCAAGATGTAGTGACATATGCTGTGGCTGATGCTTCTCCGTCAAGAAAGAGCACCATTCTTGCAGTATCGCGTCTTCACACGCCATTTATAAATGAGCAAGCGCAGAACTCTCCGGGTTCTTTGTGCCTGAATTGTCTCCGCAAAACTCATCGAATTCTTCAGTGAGCAACGACACTGCCAGCCAGCGAAGGTAGACCAACACTTTTTGCACTTTTGCCATGAAGTCGTTACCCTGAAGGCGTGCTGGGACACTGCCGCCGTATAGCACAGAAGTCAACAGTTGCTTACCCTCATCAGCAGGCATGTGCAACTGATTCTGACAAACATCCGCTCGATTGGTCGCACACTGCTCCAGGGCAGTCCTCAAAGGCTCCGGTAAGGCAGGCTCTGGCTGTAGCCGTTACTGTGGAGGAGGACTTATTGTCCAGTCTTGATTCAGAGGTGCAACGGATCATCCAAGCACTTGCGAAGAAGGGTTTTCCATCATCCAATGGTGTATTCCATTGCCCTGCTGTCCATTCCGTAGTTTTGACAGGCCGACAAGGCTGCGGCAGCACCTGGTCCACATCACATCAAGACGAACAACTTCTGCTGTTCTGGAAAGAAGCAGTTGAAGGTCATTTTGTCGCTCCATGACAGTGATATGCTGCGCGGACAACGGAAGGGAAACTTGCTTCGACGAAGCGCAGAGCTTATTCGGAAGAGCAGCCGCCCACCGCTCTCTGCGACGAACAACAAGATAGATACTTGGATCAGGTTGCTTTTGGACGCACGTGGTCCTAAGCTCGTGCATGTGGCTGCTCTATCCAAGCGGTCACTGCTAGCAAGGCGGGTGGGCAAGATCTGGCACTTGAAGGAACCTTGCTGAGAAGGTTTTCCAAGAGATGCTCTTGCATCACGCACAGGCGGGAAGAAGAGAGCTTGCTCTGCAACATTCCTAACTTTGTTGGCTAATTTCCCTTGCTCAGGTGAAGACTATATGGCCTAGGTTTATGATCGATTCTGCGGCTGCTGGGAATCAGCTCACGAATATGCTGCCCGGGCACACATCCAGCTGGTGGCCAATTGTGGAGGATGTGTTCAGCGCACCATCAGCAGTCAACATGGAGAAGCGGCTGCTCGAGGAGTCGGTTCAGAATGGTGAGTGCACCTTCATCTGCATTGATGGCACTTTCCGCGCGTGTCTACCTGTCATGGGCCAGGCCAAGTTTACGGAGCCCAAAGCCGTGACACACACCCTTTTCCTGACCACGAAAGCTGCAAGAGGGTCATCTCAATTCGGGGCCGAACCGGTGAATTACTTTGCGAGTGAAGCTGTCTCATGACACATTGGCGACATCCTCGTGGAGTTGTCAGACTGTTTGTTTGGCGCAGCTGAGCCGCTAGATGGCAACGATTGTTCCATTCAGCCCAATAGACTGGACCCACTCTCAATGGATTTTGTAAGAAGAAAGTCAAGTGAAGAAAAGATAAAACAACATAAGTCAAAATAAGTAGGAATGAGGGTGAAATCTCGGGGTGTTATACATGTTTTCTCTGAGATATGCACAGAAGCACGCTGCAGCTAAAGTTGAGGTTGATGAAGCTAGCAAAGTTGCTAGCCCGTAACTCGGCTCTACACAGCCCGACATCCAGGCAAACGCCGAGTGCCCATGTTCTAGCTAGAAGGACAGGGCAGGCGCTGTGGACGGCAGTCAAGGAACAGGACCCCAAAAAAACTGCCCGGCGTTTCTTGCCATTGGCATCCCAAAGGGAGCAAGAGCAGGAGGCTATCAAGCAGTGCGCAACTCAGCGAAAGCCAGCTGCGCAAAGAAAGCGGACTGCTTTCACACTGGAAAGAAGCACAAGTGTGCGCCGGAGTGGTGTTCACTTGCGCAAGCCTGCCTCCAAGAAACACGCGGGTGAAGGGTGATGCTTTTCACAAGTATTTACTTATCGTAGCGCTAGACATGCCTGGATACAAATCAGTATGTCACTGATGCCGGCTTTTGTTGGTGAGCAGCCAGTGGATACCAGCCAGCGCCTTCTGCTGGGCTCCAAGTGTACGACAACGTTCGAGGGCGGGACAGGTGCAGCGGGCGATTTCTGTGGGTGCAATTACAGCTTGCGCGTGCAGTGGCTACATTTCTGCCCTTTCTGCGCACTTGCGGGTGTAAGACAGCTTTGGTGCCCTTTGAGCATGTGTGTGTGTGTGTGTGCATGTGTGTGTGTGTTTTGGTTTAAGTATGGGGGAAGTTTAGGTGAACCACGTGTGGGACTTTCCGGGTCTACTGATTCAGCAACCTAGTTTGCGGGTGTAAGACAGCTTTGGTGCCCTTTGCGCTTGTGTGTGTGTGTCTGTATGTGTGCGTGTTTTGGTTTAAGTGTGGGCGAAGCACGGGTGAGCCACGTGTGGGACTTTCCGGGTCTACTGATTCAGAAAACCAGTTTGCGGGTCTGTATGTGTGTGTGTGTTTTGGTTTAAGTGTGGGTGAAGCACAGGTGAGCCACGCGTGGGATCAACATATGACAAGCCCTTTTGTTGCCAGACACTTCCACGGAGAAGCATCATCTTTTGGCATGCTGATGAGGCATGCTGCCGCAAGCCGTGTACAGATTCATTTTGCTTGATAACTATGCAGAAAGATACAAAAAAAAAAGAGCGTGGCGACGCATAGGCCTCAATCTTCCCTGCCACCCTCCCCCCCCACGTACCGCGCGGCAATTTGATGACGAAACAGGGGTCCCAGGCTCGAATCCCCCTGCTGCCTCTCTCTGCCGGCTCAGGTTTTGCGCTTCCTTTTGCTGAAAACATCGAAAAACACGGTGTTTTGTGCTTTCCCTTTGCTGAAACCATTGAAAAGCACAGTGTTTTTCGACTTCCTTGACCACCTTCTTTGCGTGACTTGTAGAGGGAATGCAGATGAGTTAAGCCTTGCCTGTAGCAATAACTCTTTACCCCCCAATTTCCCCCCAACTTTCCCCCAACTTCCCCCCAATATCCCGTCAATTCCCCCAAATTTCCACCCAATCTCCCCCAAATTTTCCTCCAAATTCCCCCCCCCCCATATTCCCAAATTTCCCCCCAATTTCCACCAATTTCCCCACAATTTTCCCGAAATGCCCCCTTAATTTCCCACCAGTGTCCCCCCCAATTTCCTCCCAATTTCCATCCGACTTGCCCCCAATTTCCCCCCCAGTTCCCCCCAAATGTCCCCGCAAATTCCCCAAAAGTCCCCCCCAACTTCCCTCAAAATGTCCCCCCAATTTCCACCCAAATTTCCCACAAATTGATAGAGGCAAGCTCTAACAAATGAGGTGTGAGAAATGCAGGGGAGATGAAGGGAAATGACAGACAGTGATGAGGAAATCAACGGACGCGAAGGGACATGTAGGGAAATGGCTGGCAATGAGTGGGACATAAATCGAAAATGAAGCCGAAATACCGAGAAAATGACAGGGACATGAAGGTGGAATTGACAGGAAATGAAGGGGGCATAACGAGGAAATGATAGGCAATGCCGGGATATGAAAGGAAATGACGCGACATGAGAAGGAAATGAAGGGGGAATGAAGGGGAAATGAAGGGGCAATCAAGGGGGTAGATGCAGAGAGAGAGGATGGAGAGGAGAGGGAGAGAGAGGGAGACAGAGAGAGAAAGGGAAGATAAGAGAAGATAAGGGAAGATAAGAGCAGACACAGGAAGAGAAGAAGAGGTCAATGTCGGCGGACTGAGCCGGAGGCTCTAAAGTTACGGATGAGTACCCTGGCTTTTGTGGGAAATTGGGGAGTCCTCTACTGTGCCTTCCAGATCGACCGCAGACTTCTTGTTCTTGCCAGGGTCTACATTATTTGACTTTGGCCGCCTTTGTCACTTCGCGAGCCCTTCAATTTGTATTGAATTTCTGCATCAAGAGTCTTACGGCTCCGTGCCTGTTGTGCCAGCCATGTGCCGCCTGGCAAAAGAATATTGAGCATTGCTGATGATTAAGGTTGCTTGCATATTGGCAACTAAGTTCTGCACAAGTGACCAAGCAGGGCTTGCAAGTCCGCATGCTCCTGCTGAAGCTAGTACACCATCACATGTTGCCTTCTATTAGCATGCGACATGACCGGAAGCAAAAACTCCTCGGGCAGCTTTGGCAAATTCAGCACTGTCGACACCATCTTTCTCTGGATGCGTCTCTGAATCAATTCTGGTATGTCTTCGGTCTCCTGCCAAGGCAGGTGCAGCACAAAATGCAGGTGTGACGAGTGTGATGCGTGCCAGTTCTGGCCATCTTGTCCTGCCTGCGACCGGGTCTGCAACCGCGCAGGACCTTTGGGGAAACATGCGGACATTCGTGCAGATCGCTCTTTGCAGTTGGTGATTCTTCAGGTGTGTGCGTGTATGTGGCGCACTGCTTCATGTAGGGACGGTCAAGCTTACAGTGTGCCAAGAATCAAATGTGAATCGTACAGCTCCAAGTTAAAGAAAGAAATAGTACTGGTCTCTGCACGCCGTTTTACGAACCACCCTGAGAGCTAGACATATGAAGTCATGTCTGACATAAACTCTGGCACGTGTTGGTGCGGCTACCAACCACCTGTATATATGTGCGAATGCTCTCCACCAGATAGTGTTTTAAAATGACTGGTCTAGGATCATGATTGATGCATACTCAAGTGTCACGCTAGTCAGTCTCTCCATGATGCGTATCAACTACGCTGCTTGGGCAGATGAGCAGGGCTGCACCAGAGAAGTCTCCTCAAGCCACGTGCAGAATTTGTGTGCCCAGTGAGTGGGCTTGCCAGAAAAGCTTGCAGCAAGTCAGATGTGACCAGGCTTCCTGCTGTTTTATCATTGTTGGGCGTGTCTAACGCTCCACCCCGCTCGAAGGCACTGGGATTCACACGCTTGTGGTCGTTTAATCAAGCATGAGAATGTCATAGCTTCAGGACCGGTGGGGTCACAGCATCAGAGCTATCAAGATGGCATGCCAGCAGGCTAGCAAACCGGCCAACTAGGAGCTCCGCACAAAGCAGGCCGCGAGACCAGGAAGGTTGTTTTACATATCTTATAAATTGTACGCGCAAATATTGGGTGCATTGATTAAGTCAGCAGAAAAACGGGGAGTAAAGGCGCCTGCGCGTTCTGGTGCTTCCAGCACTCCCAGGGCCTTGCATGGCTGGGAGTTGCCCCGAATGGAGGCCCGAAGCCTGCCTCGCACAAGCGCAAAAAACCGCGTTGCTCATGAAGTCCTGACAGAAACATGGACTGAGAGTCAAAGATACGCCAAGCTCTGAAGCATGGACTGAGAGTCCCGCCCCATCGCACGCCATGCTTGTCGAACCAGTTGAACAGCTCAGCCAAGGAAATCCCCTGGCACTTCACATAGCGTGCGGGCTTGATACAGCCATGTCAAACATCTCACCTTCTCGTTATCAGAGTATAGCTGCTCCAGCTTGGAAGACTCGCCCTGCATCGGCCTCATTGCAAACGTCGCCCAAAGTAATGCTCAAAGTAATGACACTTGTGTGCGTGTGGGTGTGTGGGTGTGTGAACGGTTTGAAGGCACGTCCAAAGCACATATCATGGACAGGCACCGTTTCATGAATTAATCTCGGCCTCTGAAGAAGCAAAACGGATGGCTAACGTGCACAATGCCAGCGGCAGCCACACCGCGGCAAAAGATGGCAAGCTGCTTGGCAGACCAGCCGGCTCTCCACCGACTACGCCAATTTGGAACGATTGCTCGGTGGCTTTGCCAACAAATGAAGCAAACAAGTGAACAAATAATGACGTTGTCGACTGTCGACAAGCAATTTCCCGAGTCATGGCTGGCAGCTGGATTGCTTGTCGAAAAGACGCGAAGCAAACTGGATGCAATGTGACTTGAAATCTACATACACTTGCACACCTAGAGCCCTTGAATTGCCCATCAATATCCGGAGGTGCTCTCAAGGCATGCGTGGATTGCAGATAGACGCCTTGCATGCATAGCCTCCTGCGTAGCCATCCCTGAAGCAGATTGGAGCATAGGCTCCCAACAGCAACCTTGCATGCTGTGACATAGTTCCAAGAGCTGATCAACAAAAATACAACGCGACTCATTGAAATGATGGATCTCATAGCACTCCTTGCTGGGTTCCCGTTAAACCAGCGTCAAGTCTCAAAAATCAAACAAGCAGCGGTCATGGTCTGCAACGCGGGCACCTGCCCTTTTCAAGGTTCGTATCGTATCCAAGCGCCCTTCATTCGCAGCCCACTGCAGTGCTGTCCAGCCTCTCAGGTCCTGGAGATGCAAACTGTGGCACCATAAGCATGCTGTACAAGAAAGAAAACACTGGGCTGCGGCTATCCAAGTCCTTGTCATGAAGTTGAGCACGAGCTCCAAGCAGAAGCTGCAGTGAGGTTGTACTTCCAATTGCGGCAGTAAGCATCAGCGGAGTCAACCCATCCCTATTACAGTGACTTGGATCTGCACCTTGGTCCCGTCAAGTGCGTTCCTCCAGCAGAACAGCTATCAAAAGACTTGCTGTTGCTTCTGCTTGGCATGCTGCTCTCTTTAGCCGGCTGCATAGAGCCAACGCGTTTGTTAAATAATAGGGCGCCGTCCCCTGGAAGCGGTGTAGACTTTGCTCCATCAACCCGAATATTATGTGAGCGGTGCCGAAAAACTGTTGTATAAACTCTCTACTTTTTCGCGGAGCCTTTCGTCATGCCTAGGATTTCGCCGCCACAACTTTCGCTTTCGCGGGCATGTGTTCTTTTAAGAACCACGTTCCCCGAGCTTTCGTGCTTGGGTTTGCTTAACCGCGCTATCTACATGGACCAGGCTACGAAGCTGCTTCCTTCGGTGGTTGGACTTACCAAGGAGCGAAGCAAACTGGATGTGGGAATTCGTTCATGGGCAATCAGCGCGTTCGCGGAGCTTTCGCGGAATTAGTTTCGGCTGAGCTCACAAGGGACTTGCTGCTGCTGTCTCACAATGACCGGCGCAACCCACTCTCCCAAGTCTGAAATGGGTCCGAACTCTGCTACATAGAAACTGCATGCACTTTCGCGAGGCTTTTGTGGCGGGCTCTTCAACACCCACTTTCGCCGCATTGCGCCGCAAGCTTTCGCTGGCTTTCGCACCCTGCGGTTTAGCTTTCGCCAGGCCACGCTGGAAAGAGCCCCTCAATTCATCCTTTTCATGAGGATTTTGGCGCTGCTCATGTCAATCATGTGGGAGTGTCATGATACAACTCTGATGAGGAACAAACTTCGCGAACGCTACTCGAGTGCGTAGGTGGCAAGGATTCTCATGCGCTCAGGCTTCTGGAATTCATCTTTAGGTCGAATGCATTTCAAAATGGCAAATGCAAATCTTGCATTGCAAATTCCACGTGTAATTTCCGTTGATTCTGCTCGTGCTTGACGGCAGTCTCGGGCTTTGGGCTGTGGGCTTGGGGCTTTGGGCGTGGGGCTTTGGGTTGCTGAAGCATGGGCTCGGGACGCAGGGGCTTTTGGATTGGCACATGTGATTTTGCAGGACTCTTCATACCAGTCACGAGCCACGCGACGGTGGCTACATCCCCACGATGCTAGGGCCTGATGGGGCGCAAAGTGGCCAACACTAATAACCAAAAGCAATTAACCAAAAGAACATCATGAAGATGCAGGAGCCGCGTGAGGTTCACACCGACCAGCCCAGTCACTGCGACATGATTCGGGGTGGGTGGGGCCCACGGGAAGCTGATGCTGAAGTGGCGTCTCGCGCTCAGTGCCCAACACAGGCGACTCGGGCGAGCCTAACTTTTTCCCAAGCTATGGGGTCTCAGGGGCTGTTGTATTCGAGTGGTGGTGTTTATTCCCTTCAAATTTGCGTTGACGTATCAAACCCTTCCGCGAAACCTTCAGAGAAGCTTCCGCAGAGTGAAAGGTACAAACCGCGAGCATGTTTCTAAAAAAACACCACTCATTTATACACGCACTCACGAAGCTTTGGGATGTGCTCGGCCGCAACAGCTCATGCAAGGGGAGTATAGTCTACCCGGTGGCGAGGGGCGTCACTGCCTGTATGCTTCAAGAAAGAGAAAATTCTGATAATATACCCAAAACCTGAAAGACACATTTGTGGTGGTGGTGGTGGTGCTGGTGCTGGTGCTGGTGGTGGTGGTGGCGGCGGCGGCGGCGGTGGCGGTGGTGGTGTGCGTCTGCGGGATTCTCCGAATTGATGTATATAGAGGCTCGAAGATGTGGTGTTGCCAGCCTCCAAGGGGTTGGGCTGACTGAGCTCACCCAGGTTGCATCAGTGGCATGCAATGCTTTAAGGAAGAAGGCAAGGGCACGAGGGAAGGGAAATAAGGAACGGGGCACGCAACCGGGTCCTGCACCTTGTCTCTTCCCTCCCCGTGTATCGGCGAGCGAGCGCTGCATGAGCATTGCTTAATGGCTGTGTTCTTGAGAAACAAAGTGGTCGATGCTTGATCGATGTGCGCTAGCTTCAAAACGCGCATGTGTCAAAGGTTGTTTTTAGGAGTGCACTGCCTTTGCAGGTGCAGCCTACGCGACTACCAGCTTGCAACCCCTCTGCTTATTGTCTAAGGCCTATTTCAATTGACCGAGGCCTCGACGGCCATCCAAAAGCGCTCGGAGTGTACTGAGCACGCCTGTGCCCATCATCTTAACACAGCCAGTCGGACGATCATGACCCTGGATTGTGGTGTCGGATCCATGGGACAAGGCGTGCATCAGGGCAGTGGCTCCATTGTCATCCTCCAGGTTCACTGACGCATTGCCTTCCATTAGCAATGCAGTCACAGCTGCATGATCTTGCACCCACGACGCTGGATAATTAACCGAACACGCTGTCCACATCAGGGCGGTCATCCCCATGTCATCTTGCAAATCAGGATTGGATTTAGCGGAAAGAAGATCTTGAACTTCCTTCAGCAGGCCCGTCATGGCTGCTTCAATCAATGGAGTGTGACCAAGATGATCGCTTGCTGCACCTGTGAGGGTTTGTGTAGCACTCGAGGGACATATCGTTGACATTGATAGGGACAGTGGCTCGGCATTGCCTGCAGCATCCAGGATGATGACAGTTGGTCTACATACAAAAACATTGGCTGATTGTTCACACTTCCAACTCTTGCAAAAATAGAACTGGTTGTGCTTTTCATCCATACCCCATCCTAGCCCTAGCTGTATCTGTCCAAGAAAGAGGCAACGAAAGCCACCCCCGAAACCAACTACCGTTCAACGCAATGCGCTGGCCAACCAACTCTTGCTGCATGCTCGAGTTGTGCTTGCTGTTGGCCGCTGGCTGCTGGCCATCGGCTGCTTGTTGCCGTCGTTGCTAGCATCGCACTTTCTGATGCTGCTGCGTTTGGTACCGGTGTTGCTGCTGATTTTGCTATTGCCCTGTTGCTGTCGGTGATGGTGCTCGTGCTGCTGCTGCTGCTGAGTTCTCAACTTTGACCCATGCTGTGCTTGGGCATCCCCAACCACAAGTGCAAAACGTGCTTAGCACACCTGTCTGCGCACAGCTCGTCTGACTTGTTGGTGGTGGCACTGTTGCTGTTGCTGTTGCTGTTGCTGTTGTTTGCTCTCCTGTCTGTGGTCTGTCATCTGTTGTGGCTGCGGCTGCAGCTGCGGCTGTGGTTGTAATGGTAGTTGTTGGTCTGATTGTCGTTGGCGTCTTCGTTGTCGTTGACGTTGCCGTTACTATTGCCATTGCTGTTGCTGTTGCCGTCGCCGTGGGCATTGCGCGTGTTGCTGTGGTTGTTGTTGCTGCTGCTGTTGTTGTTGTTGTTGTTGTTGTTGTTGTTGTTGTTGCTGTTGTTGTTGCTGCTGCTGCCGTTGTTGTTGGTTGTGGCTTTTGTTGTTTGCTGTTGCTGTTGCTGCAGCTGTAGCTGTTGCTGTTGCTGTTCCTATTCCTCCTGCTGCTGCTGGCGCTGGCGCTGCTGCTGCTGCTGTTGTCGTTGTCGTTGTCGTTGTCGTTGGGGTTGTTGGTTGTTGGTTGTTGGTTGTTGGTTGCGGTTGTGGGTTGCGGTTGTGGTTGTTGCGGTTGTTGTGGTTATGGTTGTGGTTGTCGTTGTCGTTGTTGGTGTTGGTTGTTGCGGTTGCTGTTGTTGTTGTTGGTGTTGATGTTGTTGTTCATGTTGTTGTTGCTGCTGTTGTTGTTGGTGGTGTGCTTGTTGTTGTTGCTGCGGTTGTGGATGTGGTTGTTGGTTGTTGGTTGTCGGTTGTTGGTTGTTGTTTGTTGGTTGTTGGTGTTGTTGCTGTTGTTGTTGGTGCTGTTGTTGTTGCTGTTGCTGTTGCTGCTGTTGCTGCTGCTGTTACTGCTGTTGCTGCTGTCGCAGTTGTGCTGTTGCTGTTGGTGTTGGTGTTGGTGTGTTGTTCTTGTTGTTCTTGTTCTTGTTCTTGTTCTTCTTCTTGTTCGTGTTCTTGTTCTTGTTCTTCTTGTTGTTGCTGCTGCTGTTGCTGTTGTCGTTGTTGT